CACCTGCGCTATTCCAACCCGCCATTCATTTTTTTGCCCAGCTAGCCACCTTTATACATCAACAATCCGTTGGTCGTTACTGTCTTCAAGCCGAATTTCTCGCCCCGCGCGGATTTGAAAAATCCTCCGCCATTCATCAATACCGTTGGTGGATTCGCTGGCATCAGGAAACGCTTGCACAGTCGTCTTATCCGAATTTCAGTCTCCTCTAGTCCGGAAGCACTTAACCTCTTCCACGACCGCGTCCACGCCCTCGTCCTCTAGGGCCTCCCCTGCCTCCACGGCCGCCGCGTCCACCCCGCTCGGCCTCCTTGCGGGCCTTGTTCTTGGGCTTGGGTGCGTCGTCGATTAATAGCGTATCGAGGGGCAAAGAGTCGGGGAGAATGAAGTATCGGATTGTGGAGCCTCGAATGTTCATGGTGTCGAGGGAGATGGGATCTTGGCCTCTGGGGGTCATCTTGACGGTGCGCAGGGCCGTGTTCATCTGCGGTGAGACGGAAGAGATGGTGCCGTGGACGATGGTGCCTGAGGGGGGTGAGGGGGGAGGTCAGCTATGCGCTTTTTGCTCATTATTCAACCGAGCCGAAAAGTCTTCGTTTCGGGCGTTCAAGCGTATTGGCGAGGAGGAGGGTGTATCGTACCATTTTTCAACTCAATCGTCACCGTCTCGTTGGCGCACTTCATCAAGAACCTAGGTCGCGAAACAATCAGCATCCACGTGCGGCCGATTGGAAGCAAAAAAACAACAACGCGACTTCTCTCAAATTTGATGCATAATTCAATGTGTACTTACCGAACGAGCTTCATGTTGGGCAGTGATAAGGTGCGGGAGGCAATGTCGAATCAAGGTTGTCGTCGGTGTCCCGCTTGATGCAGTTGCCGCACGCCTCACACAATCTCTCCCTCAGCCTGGTCGAAGCTTTGGCTTGGCAAGGCAAAAAAAAAAGCTAGGCCGGAAAAACACGACCGCCAGAAGCTGGGGGCACGTGACTTCGAGATTGGCTCGCCTCGTTTGTTGGCACGGGGCGCGTAGTGGGCGCCTCGGGTCACGGGTGGACAAGTTCCTATCGATAAGACCCGGGGTTAAGCCACCAGGGCGTGTGTCCCTCCATTGTCGACGATGAAGACCAAACGGTTCCCTGTACTCTTCTTTTTACATCGTGGCGCTCACGTTCATTTTCTGCATCTTTTGTCGCATTTAGTATTACCTGTCAGCCACCATACCGCGGGTAAGGGGCTGTATTTACAACTGGACAAGCTTTCTTTGCGAATTCGACTACTCTCTCCGGCACATGCCATCCTGAGCTCCTCATCTGGCTTCACTTGCCCCACCAGTCTGCTGCGTTCTTCACGGCCGTTTCGATTTGCACCCTAGGTCGGCGGAAGTTGAGGAAGGGTTCGGGAAGAGTATATGCCATCATGATATCTGGGCGAGGTGGTGCGGGAGCGCGGGCTGGCCGCATCCGCCCGCCTCGTCGCATTGTTCGTGTAAGTTGCCATCTGGTTTAATCACAACGCCAATGAACTGTCCAACATTACAATGCTTGTATTTTCCAAACAAAAATTCTTAAAGCCTCTCTCATCTCAGAGTGGTATTTGCAAAAGCTTCTCCTTCACCATTGTCAAGATGACCTGAAGCAGTTGAGAGACACTTCTTTCGCTGTTGAATCCCCGAAGAAGAAGCACGCATGCACCAGGCAGATGAACCAGTTTGATAACCCTGCAACAACGCCAAAAAAAAAAAAAATTATGGCTAACAAAATACTCTTCGCAGCCGAATGCCGCAGGGGAAGATGGAGATTTTGAAAACTGTTGGAACATGCTCAAGGAAGCTCTGCGAGATATTCATAACAAAAGTTGCGGCCGACTCTCATTCGAGGAGCTTTATCGGGCCGCTTACAAGATTGTCTTGAAAAAGAAGGGCGGGGTTCTTTATGAGAGAGTCAAGCAGTTCGAGGAACAATGGTTCGCCGAACATGTCATCCCCAAGATTGAGGTATTGGTGACCAAAAGCTTGATCAATGTCGGCATCGATAGGAACTTGGCTAGCTCGGTGAATGAACGTCGTCAGACGGGCGAAAAGTTCCTCAAGGGACTGCGGGATACCTGGGAGGATCACAACATGTCGATGAACATGACGGCGGATATTCTCATGTACCTGGACAGAGGGTACACACAACAAGAGCCAAATCGAGTCCCGATATTCGCAACTACTATAGCTCTTTTCCGAGACCACATCCTGCGATCCTGTCTCAACACCAATTCGACTAATTGTGTCATTGATATTCTTATTTCTGTTATTCTGGATCAGATCGACATGGAAAGGGAAGGAGACGTCATTGACAGGACTCTAATACGTAGCTGCAGTCGGATGCTCAGTTGTCTCTACGAGGGCGAGGATGAGAATGAAAGTAACAAGCTCTATCTCACGGTGTTTGAGCCTCGATTCTTGAGCAACAGCGAATCATTCTATGCTGCCGAGTGCCAGCGCCTTCTTCGAGAATCCGACTCTAGTACGTGGCTGCGGCATACCCAGCGGCGTTTGCACGAGGAGGCAGACAGGTGTGGCACGACAATCGAGCTGGAGACATTGCCCAAGGTTTCAGCAGTAATCGAGGAACAACTCATTGCCAAGCATTTGTCAGAATTCATCGCCCTCGAAGGCAGTGGGTTGAAGTGGATGATTGATAATGACAAGATCAGTGACCTATCGATATTATACAGATTAATTTCCAGGGTAGATGACAAGAAGGTGGCTGTTCGAGACATCTTACAAAAGCGTGTTGTCGAGCTAGGCCTCGAGATCGAAACCGCCCTGCGAAATACCGACTTTTCAACGGCCCAGGCTGATGGAGACGAGCCCGCAGAGGGGGACAAGACCAAAGCGCTCAACCCTGCTGCACAACAAACTGCCGCTGCCGTCAAATGGGTTGACGATGTGCTACGCCTCAAGGATAAGTTTGATAACTTGTTAGTGCAATGTTTCCAGGACGATCTTATTATCCAGACTTGCCTCACTAAAAGTTTCTCTGACTTTATCAACATGTTCGCCCGGAGTTCCGAGTATGTGTCACTCTTTATCGACGACAATCTGAAACGAGGTATCAGAGGCAAGACTGAGGCTGAAGTGGACGTTGTCCTGGACAAGGCCATCGTCCTGATTCGATACCTTCTCGATAGGGACATGTTTCAGACGTACTATCAGAGACACCTGGCTCGCAGACTACTTCATGGCAAGTCTGAAAGTCACGATGTGGAGAAGCAAATCATATCTCGCATGAAGCAGGAATTGGGACAGCAGTTTACCAGCAAATTTGAAGGCATGTTCCGGGATCTTGTGACGTCCTCGGAGCTCACAACAACATATCGGGACCACATCCGCAACGTCAGCGACGGCGAAAAGGTCATCGACTTGAATGTCAGCGTGCTCACCACCAACTACTGGCCACAGGAAGTCATGGGTCGGCAGGCTTCCATCGGCGACAGCTCCCGCATCACTTGCAACTACCCGCACGAAGTTCAGAGGATGCAGGCCAGCTTCGAGCAGTTCTACCTCAGCAGCAGGAACGGGAGGAAACTCACGTGGATCGGCACAACTGGTAGTGCTGATATCAAATGCATATTTCCCGCAATCCCTGGAAAGTCTGGCGCGTTGGCTAGGGAGAGGCGGTATGAAATCAATGTACCCACGTTTGCCATGGTTGTGTTGATGCTCTTCAACGACCTCCAAGATGGTGAGAGCCTCTCTTTTGAAGAGATCCAAGCCAAGACCAGCATCTCCACGCCAGACCTTATGAGGACATTGACAGCCATTGCAGTGGCGCCAAAGTCTCGAGTGTTGGCCAAGGATCCCCTCACCAAATCCGTCAAACCCGGCGACAAATTTGCCTTCAACTCCAGTTTCCAAAGTAAGACGGTACGCATCAAGGCACCAATAATCAACGCAGTGTCCAAGGTCGAGGACTCGCAGGAGAGAAAGACTACAGAAGAGAAGAATAACCAGACGAGGGCCCATATTGTGGATGCTGCAATCGTGAGAATCATGAAGTATGTTCCGGGCTCGCCTCAGTCTTGTGTAGTATCCACAGCGCCGCTAACTCTTCTTTTTTTTCAAGATCTCGAAAAGAACTCAGCCACTCGCAGCTAGTTAGTGAGGTTCTCTCACAACTTGTCGGCCGATTCAAGCCCGAGGTGTCTCTCATCAAGAAGCGGATCGAGGACTTGATTGGGCGGGAATACCTGGAGCGACCGGACGAAGAAGGGGCGCCGTCAATGTACCGCTACGTGGCATGAGTGGTTGTCTCTCACGAAGTCATGAACATTTGTAACGGCGCAGAACGGGTTTGGGGGATTCCATAGCACAATTGGAGATTCTTGCATCGCGGGAGGTTTTGGGTTGCATGGCAAGGCGATGGAAGGATTACTTACATCTCTGTTATTAGCGGCTGCTGCTGGTTTACGAAGTTAGATGCCATGTTACTAGATGCATACTATTGCCATTATCGTGCCGAAATTTGTGTGCTGTGTCGGTGCCAGACGTACAACTACGAGCACCTACCTATGTAGGCACTTGGTAGGGAGCGTACAGTTCGGCGGCGTGCGTGCAACTTGGTTACTCGCCGTGTTACCATTGGCCCTCGCAGTATTCCCACCTAGTTTCACGTACGCCGACAATTCAAACCTAGAAACAAGAGACTCGTTCAAATCCTAGGCATTCCATGCCCTCAGTGCCAATCCATATCTCGAGCATGCCTCACACCTCCTCCCCACTGGCCTCCAGAAAGCCGGAACCCCAGCCGAGGAACAACCAAGGTTGAGTGAGCTCCGACTCTCGGCCACCAAGCTTCATCCATCAACCTCCAAAAAAAAAAAGCGTCACAAAACTCACTGCACGCCCTTGCCTCCCTAATCAACACCGTGCATCTCTCCCATAAACCGAGCATTCGCTCCTCATCCTCCCTATACTCGCCATGTTCGCCCTCAGAAGGACAATGGCCACCATGGCCGCGCAGTCGCCCCTCAAGCAGGCCGGCAAAGTAGTCTGCATCGGCCGCAATTACGCGTACGAACTTGCCGCCCCCGACCCCCAAGCCGACTCTGACATTCATTCATTCATTCACTCACTCACTCATTCACGCATCCGCGACCCCCTAGACAGAACGTGCAGCTGACCCATCCGCAGGGACCACATCGCCGAGCTGAAGAACATGAAGCCCAAGCAGCCATTCTTCTTCCTCAAGCCGCCGTCGTCCATCGTCCTGCCTGGCGAGGGGCCGTGCCTGCAGCCAAGAGGCGTCAAGATGCACTTCGAGGTCGAGCTAGCCCTCGTAATAGGCAAGATGGTGCGGGATCTCCACGCCGACGACAGACAGGGCGCTCTGGAAGCCATCAAGGGTAGGGTGCCCTCTTTTCCCCCCGATTTGGCCCCGTGAACATTCGCTGCCGTGCACAGAGTGGGACGTGTGCTAAGTGAACGTGAATAGCGTACGCCGTCGCCATCGACATGACGGCCCGCAACGTCCAGGACGAGGCTAAGAGGAAGGGCCTGCCGTGGGACATTGCCAAGGGCTTCGACACGTTTCTCCCCATGAGCAACGTGATTCCCAAGACGGCCATTAGCGACCCGCAGGACGTGGAGCTGTTCTTGGAGGTGAATGGCGAGACGAGGCAGAAGGGCTCTACGGGGTTGATGATTTACCAGATCCCCCGGATTATGAGCGACATCTCCAGGGTCATGACGCTGCAGCCTGGCGATATCGTGCTGACGGGGACGCCGGCGGGCGTCGGGCCCGTTGTGCCGGGGGATGTCATGAGGGCCGGCTTGAGGGTCGGCGGGAGGGAGGTGGAGGAGGGCAAGATGGAGGTCAGGGTTGAGCAGTCGCCTTCTTCGTACGTGTTTGCTGAGACATGAGTTGAGACTTGGGCCAGGGCTGCATGGACGGTGGTGTATTAGCGGCGGGGGGCCTTGTACGTTGACGGAATTGGCAGGGAAACTGGATGACGTAGATTTATTATTATCTTTGTATTAATTTTCAATTGTTTCGCTCTGTATTCAAATGAAATTACACACATGATACAAGTATCGTGCAAGCGTAAAATCTAAAACAGTATTGGGCTATTATCTTTGTGTTGTATAGTAAAGAGTGCCTTCATTTTTCCAAACTCGATTCATCTACCGCCTACTCCGTATGCAACAACGCCAATTTCTCATGCTCATATTTCGTCACTCCTAGTAGGTAGGCCTACTCATTCATCATCACGACCTTTGTCCCGCCGCTTAGACGGCAAGATTAGGATCCGGTATGGAGCCCGGCTTCGGAGCCCAGTCCGCCAACTGTCCACACTCACCACATCGCCTCTTTGTCTCATTGTTCTTAAAGTCCTCAACTGCCTGCTTGATCTGCGTCCCCAGGTCGGTACAGTGAAAGGCAGCTTCGTGGACTACAACACCGCCGTCGCAAGATGCGCAGTACCATCGCATGCGGTCGATGGACTCTACGGGGCGGCGCTGCTCGAGAACAACGCCCACTGTGTTGGCAAAGCGCACCGGGTTGTGAGGGGTGTTGGGGGGCAGCAGAAACATATCACCCTCGCGGATGATGATGTCTCGGAAGGTGCCGCCGTCGACGACTTTGAGCATCATTGCGCCGCGGTATTGGTAAAACCACTCCGGGGTCTGGTTGATGTGGTAATCAGTGCGAGCGTTGGGGCCGCCAACAATCTGTAAAGTATGAGTATGCAAGCAAGCACGAGACGAAGAGGTGTAAATGGCCAAAAAAAAAACACTGACCATGACGGTGAAATCATCGTTGTAGACGCAGTAGTTGTTGATTGGTGGCTGGAGCATATGCGAGTTTTCCTCTAGCCTTGACATTTAAAAACCGCTGTTAGCATCCTGTAATGCGAAACGGCTGCCTGTTGGGCAACACAAGGAAATGAGCTGATTGAGGCATAAGTGAGTTGACTCACCACTTGGGCAGGTTCACAGGAGGGCCCAGCATGTTGACCACCCGGGCGAATAATAGCTCGATGCAGTCGCGGGATTGCGATTAAAAAGAGCCACCGGAGATTGTTGCTGTTGTTGAGTTGCTCTGCTACGTGCTTTGAGAGAAAAACTGGCTCCGGTGGTTGAGAGTCGAGACGTTGCCGCGTTTGTAAGCCAAAAGCGAGTCTGGCATCAGGCGCTCGGGTTTAGTCGGTCGTGCACACACCTCGCCCCCGGCTTTGCAATGCGACTTGTATTTGAGATAATCAGCATTCGACAGCAGATTAGACCAAGTTGAGAAACAGCTGATTATTCGCATAAGGCGCAGCATCCAAAGTCCAATCGTGTGTTGCACCCGAGAGCCGTTGCGTACTACCGGGCATGAAGCATGCTGTACATATGGGCTCCTCATGCATCAAGGGTCGTTGACTCGTTGGTTGACTCAGACTGGTCCGGCCATATTGCTGAGTTGGACAAGGCAAACACCGACACATCCGGCTTGACGGCACGCAGCCACAGAGTCGGCAAAGTTTATCGTGGAGACAAAACCGTGGGACATGAAGCAAAGCACTCCGATTGTTGGCCAATGATGAAAAGAAATACAGCGTAGAATGAAAGGAGATTCCAAGCAATTGCTGTTGCACCATGTTGCATAACTCGGGGCCGTTGACGCCATTAGCGCGGCGCACCTGCCATTTGCTGGGACTGCCACTCGCCAGCGGGCAGGCAGGAGCTACCCGCCGCACCGTGAGTGCCGTGACTGGCTGCTGTGAAACCAACCGCGAGTGCACATGTGGCCACCCTGTCGCAGGTGACCAGTCTCCAACGCAGTACGCCGTACAACCAGCAAGCCATGCAGATAACGTGCTCAATATAGCTCCCTCTCTCTTCAACAAGTCGATAAACTTCGGCCACGGTCCTCCTTTGCTCCCCAAACCATCATCCTCCGCACTTTGTCCAGCCCTTTCAACACCAACTCCTTTCCGTCGGTCGCAAACCCCACGAAGCTCAAGTCCTCTGTGCATGTGCTCCCTACAGCCCTTTGAACGTTGAAACACGAGATTGCGACATCCCTTCCCCCCTCGTCTTCTTCGCCGACATCATCGGCCAGACCCCAACATTCACCATCATGAACCACGCAGGCATGGATCACGGCGACATGGACCACGGCGACCACGGCGGCATGGAAGACATGTGCAGCATGAGCGTATGCTGCAACCCCTTCTCCTCACCGTCTGCTTGCCTAACTGTTCATAGATGCTCTTCACATGGGACACCACCAACCTGTGCATCGTATTCCGCCAGTGGCACATTCGCTCAACGCCAGGCCTCATCTTCTCCCTAGCCGCCGTCGTCCTTCTCGCCATGGGCTACGAAGCGCTGCGTGCCCTGTCACGACGGTTCGAAGCAAGTGTCGACAGACGCATGTCCGCCCTGCCTCGTAAGTTTCACTCGCATCTTTGCTCTTCCCCCTTCCCCCCCTTCCCTCCCAATGCGGATACATATCCCGGAGCTCTTCAACCTCATTGCGTCATATTTCCCCCATGCCCATGGGATCTGTGCCAATGCTAAGACTTGTGTGATGCCTCGAGGCGATGAACAAGATGCTGAGATCACACCCTTACTCGCGCCAGGATCCAGCCATCCGGACATTAGCAAGCAAGGGCACTTCATCAAGGCTGTTTTCTACGGTGTCCAGACTTTCTACGCATTCATGCTCATGTAAGTTTGACGTCTTGCCTGCTATCTTGGCGCGTAAGTCAATGCGCTGACGAGCAACTTGTACGCAGGCTCGTTTTCATGACGTACAATGGCTGGGTAATGCTTGCAGTGTCGCTGGGTGCCTTTCTGGGCTATCTGTTCTTTGGTCACTGCACATCTGCCACCAAGGACAACGCATGCCACTGAGAGGCAACATCAAGCCTATACATCTTTTCTCTCTCCACGTACGCCATTCAAATAAAGAATTCCAACGGTCCGGATATTCCTCAGATACCAACAGTTCAGCGAAAGCAGTTAGTCATATTTACGCACACTAATAAACAAAATAAAAAAAAATCTTTCTAAATTATACGCTACATTGATCCGCCTAGAATTCCTCTTCATGTGTACGGGCCCCCCCCGGCCATCTCATCTATACTTTGATCCTTGATCACATCTTGGCCGGTTCGTTGCTGCCCTTCTTCACCTCCCCCACCTCGTTGAAGACGCCCTCCTCCTCCGCCCTCAGAATAATGTCATAATCGCCATACGTATCATTATGCTCAATCTCGGGGTCCTCCCCATATGCAATCCTAGCCGCATCCACCAGCAGCCTCCCCGTCATGCCCCATACCTTGAACCTCCCCTCCTGCTCCTGCTGCGCCTCGAGCGCCTCGCCCATGTTGCCGTGCGCGCTCGCCCTCCTCGGCTTCGCGACCCGCTGGTTGTTGACGGGCACGTAGAAGTTGTGCACCCGCCACGGCAAGTCCTTCCACGACATCCACGCGCCGTCGTACCACGTCCCGGGGGGCAGCTCCTGCCCCGGCCGGGGCGGCAAGTCGGTCGCCTTGAGGAAGTTGTAGAACGGGGCGCTGAACACGGCGGCGACCTCGCGCGCGTCCAGCCTCGGGATCAGGGACTCCTCGACCAGCGGGCCAGGCGAGCCGGGGTGCGCCCTGTCGTCGGCGTGGAGGAAGGCGACGCACGGCGTGACGACGAGGTGCGTCCTCGCCAGCGAGGGGGGCAGGCTGCACAGCGGCTCGATGCGGAACGGCCTGGGCAGGCGGAGGTCATCCATCGGCAGGCCGATCTCCTCAAAGGCCTCCCGGCGGGCGATTTGGTCTATGTGCCAGCCCCCGTGTCAACTGTTGCCGCTCTTCTGACACAAAGGGGGAAAGAAAGGGAGGGGCTATATATTCATCCCCCCCTTTTTCTCCACCGCCCAGGACACAAGGGAATATGTACAAGGCATTGTCTAGCGGGGAAAGGGAGGGAAAAAGGGCAATACTAGTAGTACTTACAAGGTGTCTCTTCCAGGCTGTCGGCCTTGCCCCCCGGAAGCGCGGCATGGCCCGAGAAGCTCCTCAGGCTCGCGGCCCGCATGGTAATAACGACGCGCAAGTCGCCCCAGCGGTCCGCGTACAGAAGGACCAGGACGGCGGCGCGCTTCCGGGCAGGCAGGGCGTCCCATAGCGGGAGGGGAGGCGGCCTGTACGCCCGGAGGCGGTTGAGGGCAGCCTGGCCGAGGGGGTGAGCGAGGGCCATGACGCAGGGATACATTTGGAAACATACCGAGGAGAAGGAATTCAGGCCGGCCATTGTAGATGCATCGTAGTACAAGGACTCTTCAAACGCGTCGACAAGGTCTGCGAGCAGGTGTGGCTGGTCGTTGTTGAGACGAGCGTCGAGGGCGGCCGCTTCGGCGTGGTGCTGGTGGTTGGGCGCGAGCCCCGCAGCCGAGGCCCGTGTAAGCTGGTCCCGGAGATCGGCGACGTCACGGTCCGTCAGCGACAGTCCCGGCTTGTCCTGGTCGTCCTGGTCGTCTTGGTCGGGCGGGTGATTGAACGAGTCGCACGAGTCGGCATCTGCATCCGCATCCGCATCCGCGCCCGCGGCTAGGGTGCTGAGCGGTGGTGGTGTTCCTGTGCAGGTTGGCGGTGTCGATGGATTGACCGTGGTGGGATTCTGGTCGCTGGCCGTTACCGGCATGCTTGGTGGTGGCGGACTGGACTGACAAGCCTTGGAGGATGAAAGGTGCAAGTGAATGGCTGCCGGGATGAAGTTGGTTGGTGATTGGTCGTGCCGATGTTCGGTAGGGTTAGAGTCGGGGTGCCAAACGTTCATCCGGCCCGGCTGATGGGCGGTGCCAATGTAGTGCTAGTGCTGGTCGAGGCACAACTTCCAGATGTCAACTTGTGCCAGTCGCCGAGGCATTGAAACGGCCTACCCAAGCTACCTAGGGTGTCCCATGAGCGGGACGGATGACACCTGGAAACTGCTAGGTAACCACTCCGTGCCTCTAAGTAGATAGTAGTAGTTACCATCTCGGCAATCGCAGTGCCCAACAATCTACTACTAGTGGCATCCTCACACCGCATTTCCATCTCCTCTATGAAATCATCTCACCATCCCCATTTGGCAATGGCCAATTCAGATGACCCCAAGTCAATGCATACATACTCGAGAGCATCCACGCGTCCCAAAACAAACGTAGCATCTGAGTGCTCCCACCCCCATGTAACCGCTCCCCCGCCTCAGCTATGACGGATTCTTGTGGCAATGCGGGGAGATCAAGGCCAGGAAAAACAGCCTTCTGTGGCGGCGGGGCTTCCCATCCTTTCCCCAACGTCACGCACATGTCATGATGTGACCATGGAACGACACCCAATTGCTTCACGGGACTTCACGATATAATGTCTTTCAAATCCATCTATTTTCAGACACCAAAAATCATCATAGCTGGTCTAGGAAATGATAGCCATTAGAAAACTTTCTACCCCCAAGTGACATGAGCGAGAGAGAAGAGGAAAGTCAATTAAACACCCAATATATGCCATGCACTCAAACTCCCGAAATCTAGACCGTTTCTAAATCCATTTCGTTTGAATCCTTGCCGTGGGGGAATAAAAAAAAATGAAGTGCTGAAGATGAAAGCAAGCATGCTCTGTCCTGTACCATTCGCCAGCACCGTGTATCCGTTCCATCATGCGTCTAATGGGATAACCTTTAGTGATGAATATTGCCCAACATAATCGATTCCGGAACGACCTTCATTTGCAGCTTCATCTGTTCTCGTCGCTTCGCCGCCTTCTCCACCAAGATTTGTTTGTGTCTGTCAGACGGGCGGATGATTGATTCGCGCATCTGATCCTGCTTGAGGCCCGTGAATTGACCATCTGACCCAATACGAGAGGTACTTGATGTGCGTCTATGAAACTTGCTATCCTCAGAGGTTCGGCTGGCAAACCAGTCTTTAAGGTTAGACATGACGTGGCCGTCATCGCCAGTATCATCATCGTCATCAGAGTCGCTATCCCATGCGCTCATCAGAGGCGGGGCGGGACTCGGTCTGGGGGGTGGTGCTGTGGCCAAGGCATGTATTGGTGTAGAGGGTGCTGAGCGTGAGAGCGAAGTTGCGCTGATCCTGGATGTGTCATGGGCATTCGGTGATAGGGATTGCGACGCGGATTCCTCCTGGTGCTTTGGCTGCTGAGATCCTTTGAACAAGCCCTTTTGTTTGGTTTTGGTCGCGACAGTGTCAATAGGCTGAGGGGTTTCTCGGCGGCGGAATCGCGAAGCAGCCGCAAATGCGAGACTCAATGATGACCTCTTCTTCTTGTTTGGTGCAGGAAGCTGCAAAGAACTGTCGCTTAGTTGGCAAGAATTTCTGCTTGCAAGCTGAGCCGTAAACTCGTGATACTCTCCTGCAGCAGCATAGTCGCTGAATTGACCATAGGCTGGGTCCCACGGGCGGATCGACCCCTCATCAAAGTGCATCTGGGCAAACGAACCGCTCAAACTTCCAAACTGCTTCTCACTTCCATCACGCATTGGTTGTTTATGAATGCTCAGTGGTGGCGGCATAATAGACAGGTCGGGAGACATGGGACCCCATGAGCTTCCCCTGCTAGAGGACTCATCTACATCAGTCTCCAACACCGGCACCAGGTGATAGTCTGGAGTCTCGTAGGTCACTGGCTCGTCCAATCTCACCCCCGAACCTGTAGAAGACGAGTCTGAGTCCGCGCCTCCCGAACGGAAGGATTGCTCATCCATTACATCCACGTCCATACCAGTGAGCTGGTAAATCTTCTGCTGCGAAGAGCGACGAGACCACGTTGATGCCGTCATACTGTTCCTATGAAAGTGGCCAGACTGGGGTGAAGATGAGACGATCACCGAGGGGAGTCGCCGCGGCGCATAGCTAGGCATTTCTGTCCGAGTATCATTTCTCCGGTTAATAGGAAACGACCCTTGAAAGGCAAAGGCTGGCAATGACGCCGGCGCGGTCGCGGAGCTCTTTCCACGAGGCTGAGGAGTCATGGCTCTCGGGGCAGAGGATGGTGATGTAGAAGGAAGAGGCGGCAGTGGTCTGTTTGCGTAGGCCTGCATGTTGGCGGGTGTCGAAGCGCTGTACTTATGACCACGACGGAATTGGCGGTTCTGAGGCTGTTCTGGCGGAGTAAGTTGGTTCATGATGTGGTTTTGAGAGGTCGGTCTCTGCCCCCTGTATTTGAAACGGCAACAAGTACAGCCTTCAATGGGCTATTGTCGTGGTCGCCTGTCAATCAGGCTTCGACTTGATTGACGTGCGGGCGACAATAGGAAGAAAAGGCCGCGGCAGGCGCTACACCTGCTGATAGAGTGGCTGATACTATGCCGCTCAAACAATAGCCTGAAATGCTGAAAGAAGAATGAGCAAGAGCGGATCCCCTCGATTCATGTCCCGACCATATGAAAGCACGAAGCCCCGTGGTCGGCTAAGATAATCAGTCTCGGCCTTCTTTGTTGTGTTGCTCGAAAAGCCCGGCCAGGCGTTGTCCAAATGCGTCAACTGCCGAGTTATCGCGTGTGATGACGGGGTGTTGGTGGCAGCCAATGCCCAAGTCTTATGCTAGGATAAACTACTAATATACCCGGTCAAAAGTGATTATGCAGCGGAAGGGCGACAAGATGCGGCGACGGAGGTCAAAGGGCCAGACACAAAAAAAAAAAAAGAAAGAAGAATCACCAAGATCTTTGGGGGGAAATAAGAAGGCGGCGCTTTAATCAAGTACATACACAAGGCTTGTCGGTTTTTGTTCCGGGGTGTGTGTCCCCTCTGGTCTTTTGGCCCTCCTCTTGGATCCTCTTTTGCACAATTGCTGCGATGGTCGACATGGTCCGGGCAATCCATGTTTGCCCCATCTTCCCATCTTTGCCATGTTGCCATGGGCCATCTGCCCTCCCATGTCTCCCGGTTGCGGGTGCATGCGACTGTAACAGAGCACGGAGTACCGAGAGTGCATGCAAAGAAGGTCAAGTTCAGTGCAGCACCCCGTACCCCGTACAGAAGACGACGATGGAAGCGCAGCCACTCGCCTGGTGGTGTGGGCAGCCGGCCTGCGAATGGCCGACTTTGTTGGCGCATGTATCGCAGGATTGTTGTTAGAGAATGAGCGCGACACCATAAGCCATCTCTGATGGACGGATCCTTGCCATGCCCCAGTCCTGCCATCTGGACCTTCCCAATTGTGTCATCCGCCCACCCAGGCGTGGAAAGCCGCCCCCCGCGCATGCCATTTTCATGTTCCTTCATGCCCTTGGTATCCTGCCCTGCCGACAATCAATATCAGCAGGAATACGGAGTGCCCCGTATTACTACATACAGTACATACCTAGGTAGGTACTCCGTATATGGCACTCCTTACTGCGTCATGGCACTCCTTGCTGGCACTATGTATCCCGTTAGCCCTTGCCAAGCCAACATTGAACGTCAACCCCATGTCCTGGACCACCGTCTCCACTGCAAACAGGGCTGCTGCCACCTCCCGATAATATTTCATCCTCAGTTGGTTGCTCCTGCCTCTTCCTGGCAGCATTGCACTTGAGAACATTTGGGACATCTTCTGGCACAGCCAGCCAAGGCCAGCCACACACCCACTCCAACTCTCCAACTTTCAAGTTAAACCTCCCACAAGTCAGTAATCCTTCCACACCGGCTTCCATCAGCCTCGACGTAACCGTCCGATGTAAGATGCATAATGCCAATTATGCGCATCGTCATCTGCGAATCCAACCGGCTCAGCAGCATAATCAATGTGGACACCTTGGCTGAGACCTTTTCCTACGACGTCGTTGTTCAAGATGCTGACCGCCCACTTTCTCACTCGCTCACTGTGTAGTCGTGAGACATGATAACCACTTGGCCCAGAAGATGGTCAGGTTGTTTTCTAGAACCAAGTCACCAGCGAGGATTTATTACTGAGTAGTAGTAATGTGGCGTTGGCCGTTGAATGGCTGAAATGGCAGCCGGCGACGGATTCGCCATGCATTGAAAGCGTGAGCAGCATCACACTAACCAGGCAACCACCTTCGCCGCCGTTCCAGCCTAAATCCAACAAGGCCCGCTCCGCCTGAATCGTGCTATTGAGGCAACCTCGGCTTTACAACTATTTGCAATGCCTCAATCACCGGGCAAGACTGCTCGCTTGGCGGTGCGGATGGGCGAGTGTCGTGGACGCCTCGCTCATGCAACTTGCAATGTCAATGGTGGGCTCATTGAGAGTTGTGAGTAAGACTCACAACCTAACTGCGCTGTACGGGGCCCCCGAAGACCGAATGAGTCTGCAACTGAGACATTCAAGGCGTCGCTGGTCGCCTGACGACCCCTCAAAAAAGCCTCGAAGGAAGTACAGAGTATGTACACGTCTCACAGACCTAGGGCGCATGATGCCGATTAATAACGGGCAAACGGATAACGGGTAATACTATACATGGCCGCAACGCGGATGAACATTTGAAGATGCCTCCCGCTCAACAAACTTCTTCACCGACTTATTTTCTCGGCATACTTTGGTCCACGTGAAGAGCAGAGCGTTAACGACCGGGTAAGAACAACACACCATGGAGGCTGCCGCGGTACACCGTATCTATACAAGCAAAACAATGATGAATACCGTCATCTCCGCAATACAGTGACCGAGCATAATGATGCCAGAACACGCCAC